AGTAGCAGTAGCAGTCGCAGTAGCAACAGCGGTAGTAGTAGTAGTAGTAGTCGTCGTCGTCGTCGTCGTCGTCGTCGTCGTAGTCGTAGTCGTAGTCGTAGTCGTAGTTGCCGTCGTGGTCGGGGTCGTAGTCGAGTAGCAGGAGCAGTAGCACTAGCACTAGCAGCAGGAGGAGGAGGTGGTGGTGGTGATGGTGGTGGTGGTGGTGGTCGTCGTAGAAGTGCTGCAAAGCCCGAGGGAACCGGCCGGCGTCGACGTCTTGGCTCAAGATTTCACACTTAGCAGTCCCCCGCTTTGAGACAAGCTGTTGAGCCATGGGTCTCGCCTTCACGAAGATATGGCAGCGCATGATCGGGAAACAGGAGATGCGCATTTTGATGGTCGGCTTGGATGCGGCGGGTAAGACCACAATTCTCTACAAGCTGAAGCTGGGCGAAGTTGTCACCACGATCCCCACTATCGGCTTCAACGTGGAAACCGTTGAGTACAAGAACCTGTCATTCACCGTGTGGGACGTGGGCGGCCAGGACAAGATTCGCCCTCTTTGGCGCCACTACTACCAGGGTACGAATGGCTTGATCTACGTGGTTGACAGCAACGACCGAGACCGAATTGAAGACGCCCGCGAGGAACTCAACAAAATGTTGAATGAAGACGAGATGCGTGACGCAGTGCTTCTGGTCTTCGCCAACAAGCAGGACCTGCCCAATGCCATGACTGCAGCCGAAGTCACCGAGAAGCTTGGGCTGCAAAACCTGCGCCATCGACAGTGGTTCATCCAGTCGGCTTGCGCCACTACAGGAGATGGCCTCTACGAGGGTCTGGACTGGCTCTCCCGCACACTCTCCTCAAAGCGCTAGACTGGCAGATTCAGAGGCACATCATTGTGTAGTGTGGTTTGCCTTCAGGACCGGCCAGCAGCTATCCAACCCACCGCAATGCGGTGACAAAGAGCGCCTTCTTGAAACGCCGAGGGCGAAAGATGTCGTACTGTGCGAAGTTCGGGAAAGCGGGATGTACCCACAAGGTGCTCGTTTGTGTACTTGAAATGTGTATCGAGCAACCAGTGTCTGTTGAGTCAATAAACCTAGGGGATTTCTTCACTAATGGGCGGAAGGTCTGTTAGAAGCCTGCTGAAGCAGCCCTTGAGGCAATCGTGAACCTTAAAGATTGACGACAGCCCATGTGTGAGTGCGAAGAAGCCGTAGTAATTCGATAGTTTAGTGTCCGATGTTTCCGAGTTTCAGGGCTTGCGGCAGCCCACAGCACTTGTTCGGACAGACTGCAGACATCCGCAGGACCGCTTCAACGGTGGTGGCAAAAGCGGCGGTCGGGGCAAGGCCCGGGGAAAGGCTGACAGAGTGATGTAGGGGCCTAAATAATTACCAATACTAGTTTGGGGGGTTCCTTGTTATGAGTCTGATTATAGTATGATATACCCCGAAGACCCTATTCTAATTATTAAGGCCCCTGCACCTTAAACCCCTGATAGTAGCCCTTTAAGGAACCCTTTGAAGGAACCCCTAAAACCCCTGTTTTTATTATTAGGGCCGTAATAATAAGAACAGGGTTTTGAGGGATTCCTTCAAAGGGTGTCTTAAAGGGTTCTATAAGGGTATACATTAGGCGGCGACTTGCTGGTGGATCGGCTTAGGGTTCGGGGTTTGCGGTATGGGAATTGGGGAGTTTCTGAATATTCGGCATACCGTATGTAGAAGTCATGGTTAACAAGGATCCTAGTCCTTAAGATTTTCAGATCTGATATGAGGAAGTGTCCCGGATAGTGTATATATGTAGGTTTGTTTTTAAATTTCTGCCTCCATCTTGCGCACCCCCGTCTCAGTACTCTGTATGCAACAATCGACATGCAACGACCCGGAACTCGGACCTTAAACCTTGAAAAGCATAGCAGCATAGCTGTACCATCCCAAACGCATGGACTCCAGTAAGGGCAAAAGTCATCTGGCTCGTCCCAGACACCTGAAAGCCTTCAACTTTTTTCCCACCAGCCGTGCCTGCCAGGGCTGGAAAAACGCTCCTAGACCCACGACCAAGTCGCGCCCGGAGCCTCAGTCGAAGGATCTGGCTAATGTAGGGGCCTGAATAATTAGAACAGGGTTTGGGGGTATCATATACTATGATTATAATAAGGAACCCGCAAAATAGTACTGGTAATTCTTAAGGCCTCTACATTAGGTTCAGCTTCAGCAGTGGAAAGCAGCATCAGTGGTACAGCCGTCATCGTCGTCTTGAGCATAGGTGCCGATGTGTCGGCACGGTTTCCTTCGACAAGCGGAGTGACATAAAATGAGATGAAGGGTCCTTGCTTTGAGGTGGTTACAGGCAGGATTAAATCTCAAGCGATCGGACGGGTTCGCACTCCTTGCACTGGTGTGATGCAGGACGCGGGTTGTAAGATTGCTCCCAAGTTCCCTCTGCTTGCGAAATCAATTCTGTCTTCCCTCCCTCGCTCTCCTCTACTCCCGCGATGGTGAACTCCTCGAGCTGTTTTGGCCTTTCCAGGTTGCGTCCCGCACTCCCCGAAGAGACTAGCCTCCTTCCTATTTCTGCATCATGGGCGGTGGCGCTTCCAAGACTTCCGGCTCTGCTTCCGCGCCGTCGCCTGCAGGACCTCCAGCCAAGGGGCTGATGCCTCAGAAGAAAGCCACCAGCCCCAGCGTCGCCATTATCTACTATTCCACCTACGGCCACATCAAGGCTTTGGCGGATGAGATCAAGGCAGGTTTGGAAGCGGCAGGGGTGAACGTTGACCTCTTCCAAGTGCCCGAAACGCTTCCGGCAGAGGTGCTGAAGGCGATGTCAGCACCCGGAAAGCCTGAGGACGTAATGACGCTGGACTACGACTTCCTGAAAGAGCTTCCTAGCTATGATGGTTTCATGTTTGGCATGCCCACGCGTTTCGGCATGATGGCAGGGCAGATGAAGACCTTCTTCGACAGCACCGGACAGCTATGGGCATCTGGGGCATTGGCCGGGAAATTGGCCGCCACCTTCGTAAGCACCGGCACCCAACAAGGTGGACAGGAAACCACGCACTTCACTGCCGTCACACAGCTGGTCCACCATGGCATGGCCTACGTGCCTTTGGGATATCAGGCGGGTGGCGAAGGCCAGTTCGATCTTAGCGAGATCCACGGCGGCTCGCCCTGGGGTGCCAGCACCCTTGCGGGTGGAGATGGCAGCCGGCAACCTAGTGCCAAGGAGCTGGCAATTGCCAACAAGCAAGGCCAAGTATTTGGAGCTACGGTGGCCAAGGCGGCAGCGAAGAAGCCCGCCGAGCGTGAGCTGAAGGTCTGCATCGTGTACTACAGCCTCTATGGTCACGTCAAGAAGCTTGCTGACGAGATTGCTGGGTCCATGCGCGAGGAGGGAGTCACAGTCGACCTCTTCCAGGCTCCCGAGCTCCTGGGCCCGGAGGTCCTCGAGAAGATGGGTGCACCCCCGAAGCCCGAGGATCCTGTAATGGATTACGCAGCTGTGTCGAAGCTCCCGGAGTACGATGGCATCATGTTCGGGCTGCCAACGCGCTTTGGTAGTGCATCTGCACAGATGAAGTCCTTCTTTGACGGTACCGGTGGTCTCTGGCAGTCTGGTGCATTGGCCGGAAAGCTGACCGCCAGCTTCGTGAGCACTGGCACTTTGAACGGTGGCCAGGAGTCGACACACATGACCACCCTTACTAACATGGTGCACCACGGCATGATTTACGTGCCTCTGGGCTACCAGGCGGGAGGGGACGGCCAGTTCGACATGTCCGAGATCCACGGCGGCTCGCCATGGGGTGCAAGCACCTATGCAGGGGCAGACGGAAGCCGCCAGCCCAGCGCAATGGAGATCAACATCGCCAAGAGGCAGGGCAAGGTCTTTGCGGCTAAGGTGAAGCAGATGAGCCAGTAAGCTCAGGGAGAGTCCAGTCACATTCCTGGATTGGTGTGCATGAGGGTTCCTGGACATACGATGGGCCCGCTATGCCAAAGGCAAAATTTGATACCACCTGGCTGGCAGCCCCTGGACAAATTATGGGACTCAAACCGGCATGGGTGAGCTTGAGCCAGGAAGAATGCAATGCAATCTTCCCCAAGGCGTTAAAGACCCAAGCGGAGGTGAAACGGCCAGACATGCCTGTCCCTGACCTCTCTGCATCTGTAACATGGTTCCCTGAGAGATCTCAGGCCGTAGCCTGCAGAGCAGCCTAAACTGCATGACAATTATGAGTCTGATCAGAGTAACATAATTATCTAGTAACAGTAGTGGTCGTCGTAGTCGCTGTGGTGGTCGTCGCTGATGTCTCGTCGTTGTCATCTCGTCATGTTCGAATCTCGGTGGGGACGGTGAGTGTTGCTGCCGTTGCTTTTCGGTTTAGGGTTTGGGGATTTAGGGCAAGTCCTGATGCAATAAATGGGTTAATGGGTTCTTGATGCTGCTTTGATAGTCGCTGTTGTTCTTACTTGCCGACCGAACTGTCTGTGTCTTACACCGCAATGCAAAATTGTCAAGGTTGGTTCGTGAACGAGGAGGAGGACGAGGAATGGGAGGACGACCATCAGAGCAGCAACTGGAGCCGTTTCCTTACTCACGTGAGGTTGGAGTTTCTGGGTTTCGAGAGGGTTTAGAGCTGGTGATGGGTTTTTCAAGAGCCGCAAGCTTTGCAAGTATTGCTGCACGCGAACTTAGCTCTTCTCCCGTCCCTCAGGTGGATGGAGCACCAGTGCCAGCACTCCCTGCACGCTTGAAAAAATAAAGAAACAGTGTTGCTTAACACTGAACCCTAAACCCTAAACCCTAAACCCTAAACTCTTAGTCAACTTTGGCACTCCGACTTACGCACCTATGGGTCCTCGCCTGGCTTGTCCGAGTCGTGAGAGTGTAAACCCTAAACCCTAAACCCCTAGTATAGGGGCTTGCGTAGTTCGGTGGGTTTGAATCATTCCCGCGAAGGGTGCGCGAATATATTAACTCAAGCAGAACCGGCAAAACCTTCGTCCAAGCTTTCTAGAACCCTGAACCGTTCTATCTTCGGGCTGCGTTCTGCGAACCTTGCAGCTCTCTATTTTGAAAGAGGGCCCATTAAGTTTCCGGGTATACCCAGTGCCGGCACCAAAATCCCAAAGCCTCGTTTGCTTGACGGCCTCGTTTCTGTGCGAATTGTAGGTCGCATGCATTACCTGGGCAGCACTGGTCTTCATGATTTGGGGCTTTTGGGGCACCTCATTTGGGGCCCATGGTTGTAAGGATCCTACAATCTGGGGTTCTATTTTAGTAGGGTCCCCTAAACCCTAAACCCTAATCGGCTTCCGAAACTCCCATCTGGGTCGTCCCTCTTGACATGCCTTGGCTCTAGACGACCATTGATGTTGTAGGCTTAGGCCTTCAGGCGACAGAGCAGAACCTGTGGCAAGAAGGGTCCTGGGCTTTGCATGGCCTCAAACAGCGGTAACCGCACGGGGCTGCAGTTCAGGGTCTGAACCCTGAGCCTGCAATCTGAATCCTAAACCCTACGCCCGTGGCGGGCTGTGCTCAGTTAGAATTTGGTATGTCCTGCTGCTTTTATTTGGGATGGAGGGCTTGTCGAGGATTTAGGATGCAGTGCTGACGAACGAAGCGGGGCCGCTTGAATGAGGGTTCTTCTTGGAAGCCACGTTCAGGGGTTGCTCAAGTTTACTTGGCTTGCGCCTGTGGGGTGCGGTTTGTCGGATTCTGGGGTTTAGCATCTGAGTCAGCTTACCCTGGACCTAGTCATACTTTGTGCTGCCTTCTGGAGGTCTGTGTCCTAAACCCTAAACCCTAAAACCCTAAGCCCTAAAACCCAAAACCCTAAAACCCTAAACCCCAAACCCTAAAGCCCTAAACCCTAAACCCTCAAACCCTAAACCCTAACCCTGAACCCCAAACCCTGCCAGGTAGTTCTAGCAAGGGCGGGTACTGGAAGTGGCAGTCGGCCGACGACGACTGGGACGAAGGTCGGACTTGGATCGCCGATCTGCTTCTGAAGCCCGGTTAGGGCTTAGGATTTAGGGTTTAGGGTTTAGGACGGTTTAGGGTCTAGGGTTTAGGATAAAGGGCTTAGGGCTTAAGGGCTCTTTCAGGGCCCTTTAGGGGCTCTTTAAGGTTTAGGGTTTAAAAAGTAAACCGAACGCCCTCAAGCCGTTTGGCGTTTGCGCTGCCCTGCTGGGTCTTGGATATTGTGTCTGGATGGTGGCTTTTGCAGGTGGCGACTGGCAAGAGGAGGAGGAATGGGATGAGCAGGACTGGGAAGAGGACTCCTGCCTGCAATGGGGCGGACTCTCTTTGCTGTCTTCTGAGCCCTAAAACATGTTCGGGCGGGTTCCTTACCATGAAACCCCTTACGTTTCATACAATCCGTGCTCCTACATTTCGGTGCGACTGAGCCTTGCTTCTCTTTCTCTAGGCTTTCACCTAGACTGTCTAGACTTCGACAGTGTTCTGAGGAGTGGGAAGAGTGGGAGGAGGACGCGAAGGGCAGGGCGCATGGGATCGAATCATTAGGCCCCTGAGCCGCGGTGTCACGTCACAGCTTTGCGTCGGCGATTTGAGTGTTGCAGTATTACAGGCATTTAGGGTGGCGGAGCCGTACACTCCGACTTCAGGCCCAAGCCAAGACCGCATGAGTCTAAGCCTCAAGCCCTTAAAAGTACCCTCAAGCATCTCAAAGCCCTGAGCCGGAACCCTCAAAGCAGACTCCGACCCTGAAGCTGTCGCCAAAGCCTTCGGGGTTTAGGCTTTGGGGCTTAGGGTTTATACGGGAGGGGTCGCCAGCAGTTGGGCTCTCTCAGGGCCTTCAACATAGCCACCCTAAACCCTTAACCCAAAGGGTCGTCCACGCGAGACCCAGCAGCCTCAAGATACTGCGTTGCTGTTCAGGAACTTAAAGTACGTTACTCCAATAAGGAAACCATAGGCGCTGTTTATTTGCTATATATCCCTAAGACCCTAAACCCATTATTGTTGCTTTGAACAGTTGCAGGCATCCCCCACATCAATGTATCACGCGACTACTGCACCTATGAATCCTCGCCTGGCTTGTCCGAGTTGTGAGGGTGTAAACCCACTAAGGTCAAAACATGTCAAAAGCCTAAACCGTAAACCCTATTATTTACTATAGGTCCCTAAATGTAAACCCTATTATTTACTATAGGTCCCCATTATTATGGGCGATGTAAATTCAGCTCCTTAACAGCAACCCAGCCTGAAGAGAGCGTGGGAGTCCCAGCCTCCGAAGCCCCACTAAGCCCCTACTATAGGGGCTTTAAAAATTAGAATAGGGTTCCTTTAAAGGGATTTTTAAAGGGATAGGGTTCCTTTAAAGGGATCCTTAAAGGGCTCTACAAGGGATCTATGATAGGGTTCTATACTAGGGGCCTTAATAGGGTTTTGGGGCGTATTCTACTATAACTATAATAAGGACCCCCAAAATAGTATAGGTAATTTTTTAGGCCCCTAAGAAGTAGAATAGGGTTTTGGTGGTGCAGATTAAAGCATAGTCTAGTGTAGTTATATGGAGGAACCCTAAGGGCTAGAACTTCACATCTATGACAAGCGAGCGGCCGCTCAAGACCTGAAACTCCTCGCGCCCTGCCTCGTTTCAAACTCCGAGCTTGGAGGATCCTGGCCAAGGTCGGGCCCCGTTGCAAAGAGGGTCGACGGATGTAGGGCAATGTAGGGGTTTAGGGTTTAGGGTTTAGGGGTTTGGGGGTTTAGGGTTTAGGGTTTAGGGAATGTGAGTCTGGGTTCAAAAAAGGGAATGTCGGGGTTGGGGCTTTGGGGTTTAGCAAAATCACTGTGCCCGAAACCATAGACCGAAACCACTGAACCTTAAAATCCAAAATTCCCTAAACCCGAAACCCCCACAGGCAAAAAACCCTAAAGCCCTAAATGCTTAAAAGCACCCAGCCCCCAACTCGGTTCGTCTACCGCAGGTTCGGGGCTTTTTCGGAAGGGAGACGTAGGGTCTTGGGGCCAACTCTGGAGCCTTTTGAGAGGTGAGACAGCAGCATCTATGGGCCACAATAGGCTTCAAAGGGGAGGAAACCTAAACGAATACGTCATTCTGATCCTTTCGGTTTTTCTGTGTGATGGAGTTTGAAGTTGTGCCATTGAGATCTAGGGTATGGGAAGTGGGGGTTTGGGGACCAGTTTGGATCAGGGACATGTGCCTTTTCAGGGGTTAAGGCTTGTCAAGACCCACGTGGGGCGGAAGCTGCCTCGGCGCAGCAACACGCATGCACCCATACATGCACTGACCGCAAACTTTGAGCTTCTTGGCCCTTCTTCCTGGTGACTCTTTGTGCCCGGGTTCAGGAGGCCCTCACGTCTAATTTCGAAGCTGCCAAGCCTTTCTTCTCTCTAGTTGTGGGACGCTCTGTTTCGCGCGTGCATGCTGAAGCCCCAAGAATCGCTAGCAACAAACCATCCTCGCCTGCAGGGTCCGAGTTGCGAGAGTCCCCAAACGCCCTAAACCCTACGCCCTAAAACCCCCTATATAACCCCCTAAACCCACCACCCCTAAAGCCCTAAACCCCTAAACCCCAGACAGTATCGTGGTGGACCTTGCCAGGCTTGTGAGTGTTAAAAAAAGAACCCTAAACCCTAAACCCTAAACCCTAAACCCTAAAGAGCCCGAAGAGTCTCAACCGCAAGAGCAGCGATTCTCGATGAGGTCAGGACAAATGGTCGGACAACCGCGGTGGTGGCCGTTGGCGTGGCCGTGACGGTGGCCTTTGGGGCTTTGGGTTTTGGGTGTTCGGGGTCTGGGCTTAGGGTTTGGGGTGTTCGGGATTTGGGTTTAGGGTTTGGGGGTTAGGTTTTAGGGTTTGAGATTTGTGATTGGGGTTTAGGGAAGAACTGCAGGGACTGGGTTCAGAAGTGCCTCAGGAGGA